AAATAATGATTATATAGAATGCTGCGCCTGCGCCGATCCCCAATACGTTGACTGACTTTCTGCTGTATCGCAACAATGGTATTATTATTTGAATTCAGTGTCTTTTAGCTGTCCGTTTCACTGCGTGAACGCGTACCTCAAGACTGAGAGCGATAGAAGAAAAGAAGGCGCAATTCCAACCCCTGACAGACGGACGGGTCGTCTTATCTAAGTTATAATGTTGCATTGGATGAAACTTCTCTCCAAAAGAGTTCTTACTCTGGTTCTGCTGCCGTTTCTGTTGCCCTACTTAGAAATGCGATTCTATTCTGAGACCATGCCGGAAGCGGAGCCGCGTCGAAGCTCCACAATAAGGCAAAAGCCGCCGCCTAATCGCCATTCTTCCCAGTCTCAATATAGCCACAATCAACTAGCCCGAGTTCCTTTGAAATTGACTAGACCTCCCACTGAATAAATGATAAGAGATAAAAAAAAATGTGTCGTTGATCAATCTCGTTTCTGAATACCGCCCACGTATGTTCTTCCATTTCAGAATCGTACGCACTATTTGAATCCGATTTGCAGCTGCATAGTGACCTGCGGGGCAGCTGATGTAGAGCTAAATGTTTCGGATCTCTCAGACCAGTCTAAAACCAAACACCCCAAGTACCGGGAACATGACCCTTGAAGGCACTTTGTTGGACCAGCGTTGGGCCCATTAAAGTGGCGCGCGATTGTAAGAGCGCGCCACTGATACTACACCACTTCCACACTGATCAGATAAGTGATGAAGTGCGTCATGGCTGCCAGTGTACCTGGGAATGCGCACGCATTTTCCTGATACCGTGATTAGACAGTTGTAGGTTATTAGGATGATTGTTTCCCGCCCACCTTGTGCATTTCTTGCCTTTAGGAAGACCTGCTCGCAAGCTGCGGTTACGAATTTATGGGCAGTGAAGGTGATATCAGTATCTATTTACGTTAACCTACCCTTTTCGGTAGAACAAATATGGGTGGAAAATGCCTTCATGGCCTTCATTTAATTATTTTTTAGATTTCTTCCTCTTGCAAAGCATTCTAGCATGCAATGATTGCTGGCTGTTTTCGTCTCATTAAAAGCTGCTTTCGTGCTTGTCATCCGTTTTTCTTCGTTCTTTTTCGGGACCTCGCTTGAATTTGATTAACTCCGTCCTCACTCCTCTCTGTCAACTTGCATCAGTTTTCAACAGTGTGGCTGGTCCAGTTCCAAGTTCTCAATGAACCTGAACTTTAGCAAACAAATGTATTTCCCTTTAATAGGAAACGCGGGTCAACAGGACCATGTGTAGACACGGCGATCATATTTCTAATTTTATGGAACCATCAGGTCGTGTGAAGAGAATCCTCAAATACGACGAGTGTCCTTGAATTAGGGCCTCAATGTTTCTAGAAGACATTGGAGCCCTACTTCATGGTCGACCCTGCCCAAGGGCGCTACCACAAGATGGAGGGTCAGGGAGCATCGCGGCGGCAAATTACTAAAACTGCGTCGGACATCCTGCTTCTTTTAAAGGGGACTAAGCCTTAGGAAGGCGAAGGAGGAGAGCTACTGGGTGTGATTTTCATTTTTCCTAAAGTTCCTGCTAGCTCTCAGGGGTCCTAGAAGATGTCCCTGCATCATGTGGTAGCGCCCCACAAATATCCATTCAGCTACCGGTCATTCACAGCTAGAAATAGGGAGTCGTGTTATGAACTTCTTCCTCTGTGAACTTTCCTAGACCCAGTTAGCCCTTTTCATAGAACACTGCCACACTTTCATAGACTATTGTGTGAAGAATAAAGCTGAGGCTTAGGAAATGTCGCGTAACCGCATAATTTTATTATGCAGTAATGCGTCCCCTCTATGAAAACAAGCTATCGCCCGAAACCCACTATTCTCATTCAGACGGTGTAAAAGTCACAAAAATGCTCCCGTAGTGATCGCTAGAGTGAGCATGAAGTCAGTGTAAAAGCGATCCCGCTATTTGAGTATACTTCACCGTAATACGGCATTTCAAAAACCACATGCAGCCGTGCGAAGAGCTCTCGATGGGGGTGTAAAGCCTTAGTTCCACATCAGTTATCATCGTTAAGTTCGCTCCACATCAGGAAAGATTGTCAAAGGAAAACCCAGGGATTAGCCCGACTAGTAGGAAGGATACCATGAGGGAAATTTTGGGGTACGTACCTTCATAGATCATGCCAGCTTCGTTGCCCAAATTGCGCGATTAGGGCGCTAATCCTTACGAACCTGCAACCATCGACCCTCGCTTGCAACGCTTCCCACCCACCGCGATTGATGTAGAGATCAGCGTGCTCTCTCGCGTGTTTTGTCTTCTTTGATCCCCTGTCTCGCCATCGTACCACATCCGACCTTACTGAAGGTTAAGGCCTTAATTTCAGCGTTTCCCATGATTTCTCTTGCTTTCCTTTCCACTTTCAGGTCATTCCGCAGCTCATTCATCACTACAAAGCGCTCTTGCATACCATTTCATCCCAAAGTTTGCCTTTAAGAGCACGTTACGCTCTGCGCTCTATATAGGTATTGCAATAAGCCGCTCATGTTCAAGCTATCGTTAAAGTGCTGTTAGGATATCTCATACCATCAGCGAGATTTCGAGTCAGTACAGCCCCCCCGGGTGCGTTCAGCCTCTCTTTCGCACGTCGCGTATCATCAAAATGAACCCGATACCTTTCATTTTCTCAGAGGTAAGCTCATGGGAATAACGATACAACTTAGCGCCCAGATGACAGGCTATACGCATCGCAAGGTTAAGCGCTGAACTTGGAGCTAAGGCCCTAAATTCCAAGACATAGCCTTAGGCCTTTGAATGTTCGCGGCTGCGCTGGTGACCTAACCTAGGAGAGAACTGAACGTGTCCTTCCCGTAATCCTTATTCGGGGGAGGGGGTGGAGAATGTAGTGACAGCAGTGGTGGAAACATGTGGATCAACCGTTCAAGGCCTCAAAATTGAATTCCAAAAAAAAGCAAAACACTTTAAACAATGCCGGAACCTTACGCTGCTATTTGTACGAAATTTGGTCCCGTGGATACCAGCGCGGCGCTGACTACAGGGACCTGGTCTAGTGTACAACATCTGGGATCGTTAGCCGTCGTAGTCAATCGATCCCTCCGATCTGGGTACCGTGTGTTGTGAGAAGTGAAGGCAGCCGACTTTACTCGGCTATCCGCAAGTCATCAACGTAGCCACTTTTAAATAACGCTCGATTGACGGATTTCGTTTATTGGAGAGTAAGAATGCTCATGCGCCAATCCTGGATGGCGCGAGGGAGTGATGAGGGCCGCGTTAGTGATGGAAAAGTGAAATTTCAGGCCACTGTCCAAAAGTTTGACACGGCCCAAAATTGTTGGGAGAACAGGAGTAATTTCCCTGTGCGAGACTTGTTTCGAAATGCGTCCCTCAGCCTTTGAAGATTGCACGATAATTTTGGAATTGAGTCGGAAACGTCGGTCGAATAGAGGCTCACTACTGCGAAAATCTCTTCGGCTAGGACTCCTTTTCACACTCCCTTTCATAGCCTTAATTCCTCCTCTTCGAAAATGCTTATCCAATCTCATAAGGCCATCATTTGCAAGGAGTGAAATACGACTTCCTTCTCATTATTCATTGCTCCTCGATGAACGGAGATTTACGATTGGGCGGGTGAATGATTTACTGTAAATTGGTGTGAAACCAGAAAAAGGCTACCAATGGTGTCTTGGTATTTACGAGCGCCAGACTCTTTTACTTTTTTGAGGCTTATTGTAAACCACTTCCAAAATTAGCTCTAGTCAGAGACTAATTTATTAAAGATTCAGCTGTCTCTGTGACGTGCAAAAATGAGAATACGCTGGACGCAAGCAAGATACTTGAGAAATCTTGTTCTTAATCAATTCCTCTGCCCTGGGGGGGGGGGGGGGGGGGGGGGGGGGGGGGGGGGGGGGGGGGGGGGGGGGGGGGGGGGGGGGGGGGGGGGGGGGGGGGGGGGGTGGGGGGGGGGGGGTGGGCATCGCGAGGCACGCGCTCGGGCGGCGCGTCGGGGCGAAACGTAAAAGTGGCGTAGCGCGTAGCCAAGCCACTTTAGGGCATATTCAGCGTTGTCCGGAATTGTTTGAGAACATTTCCAAATCATTGGACTGAGTTCCAAGGACAACTCATTGGCTGGCAGAATGAATCGATGGACTGACTACCCAATCATTTCGCGGTCTTAGCAGGCAAAATGTGTTCTGAAACGCAATGATAACCGAGACTCTATGAGACCTCCGGAACATTCGTCAAGAATTTTCTCCTGTTCAGCAACGCTTCCACTTGTGGACATTCATGCTTGACACTATTCTCACACAGTGACCCATGGTCGAGGATTTCCTCGACCCTTATCCATCAGTCTAGGGGTCTTCGTATAACTGAGGAGGGGAAGGAATCGGCGCAGTGACCCGGTGTGGGCGATGCGCTTCGTGCCTACAGTAGCACGGCAAGGAGGAAGGAAATCTCCTGGTCCCGCGGGATGAGGAACATTTCTGCTTTTTGACACCGCTGCTCTTCGGAGGTTTCCTTTGCTCCTACAAAAAAGAGACAACACGGGCACAAACCGTTTCACCATGCACCCTTCCCCCTATTTTATAGAATGAAAACCTCGATTTTTGGACACAACGCTCGTGACAAAAACGTTAACCCCAATGCATGTCGTGAAAGCATGACTAAACTGAAAGCTATTGGCTCTGGCTTCAGCCGAAAATAACAAGTTCACTGTTACGTGTCGCATGTCGGCTGGTGCTGGATTTTAGCTGCAATTGCGGTAGCGACATGTTGTTTCACGCGTGAAACTTTTCGCGGCTGGCATTTGCCGCTGCTCTTCACATTCCTGGAATCTTTTGTCTTTTTATCCTGTTCCGAGCTATTTCGTACTCAAAGGACTTTTTCTCTGAACCAAGGAAGTTTTAAGGCTGCACTTTCAGTCATTCCTGAGACAAATATCAATGCTGTTTTTACTTCGATATTCTAATGACTGAACTCGTACGGAAACGTTCTATACATATACGTGATGCACGGATAGCAGGGCTTTATGATCTGGAGCATACGATTGGACAGGGACACTTTGCAGTAGTAAAACTAGCACGTCATGTGTTCACTGGAGAAAGAGTGAGTGGAGTGTTTGTTTTCAACCATCACGTGAAAACCTTCTATGACTGCTCTCTAATTTTTATGTTCAGGTGGCTGTCAAAATTATTGATAAGTCTAATCTCGATAGCGATTCGATGGGACATGTCATGCAGGAGGTAGAGAAACTTTGATTTTATGCTACTCAAACAACAATTTGTGTGTTTCATGAGAGTCAGTCGCAATTCTTTGAGAAGGTTTTTAAGCGGTTTCGGATTCGTATTTATGAATAGGGTCTTCACTTTCACATAGAAGCAGAATATGATTAGACAATTTGTGAAGAAACGAAAAGCAAACTGGCAAATAAGTAGGAAGCTGTAATCTGGGGTCAAGTTTGGAGTAGTCTGCAAGGTTCTGAGTTTTAGGCACAAAATCAGGAAGGCTTTCTTATAGGTCTTTGTTTTTTAATCTCACATTGATGTTGGGTGGATTACTTCAATTCGGTAGTTGGAATATAAATATTATATGAAATTCTTTAGTGGATGATTTCCGACTATGAAGTGAATGCGTTCAAATTTCTTATTTTTCTTCTTGTTGTGAAACAATCATTTTTTCAGGTGCGATGTATGAAACTAGTACAGCACGCGAATATTGTGCGGCTGTATGAGGTCATTGACACCAATACAAAGATGTTCCTAATTCTCGAGTTGGGGGACTACGACATGCACGACTTCATAATCAAACATGAAAACGTATGATATTGTGGTTGAATTGTTTACACCTTTATAACTTTGTCAAACACAAACACCTTTTTTTAAACCGTCTATTACATTTTTAATCCTTCATTATCTCTTTTATGGTGTTTTTTTTGAGGTAATTAATATCAAATAGTTCAGGGCATCGAAGGAATCATTGGCCCAACAATATTTTTGCCAGATAATAACGGCCATAGACTACTGCCATCGTCTTCATGTTGTTCACCGTGACTTGAAGGTAACGAAATTTGTTTATCGATTCATTTTCAAAAAAGAACTTTTCAGCCTGAAAATGTGGTTTTCTTTGAAAAACTGGGAATGGTGAAGTTAACTGATTTTGGATTCTCTAACCTCTTTGAGCCCGGTGAGCAATTACGCACTGCGTGTGGTTCGCTTGCATATTCTGCTCCAGAGATCCTTCTTGGTGACGCTTATGATGCTCCGGCAGTTGGTGAGTTCAATTTGATATTTTCAATCGTTAGTTTCAATTCCGTCATTGATTCTTTTGCAAGTGGCGATCTTTTTAGACGTGTGGTCTTTGGGAGTTATTCTTTTCATGTTGGTATGTGGACGGTTACCTTTCCAAGAGGCAAACGACTCGGAAACTTTAACCAAAATCCTCGACTGCCGATATAATACTCCGGACCACCTTTCCAACGCTTGCAGAAAGTAATTTTTGTATATTGTCATGTTTCTGACATCCGGATTTGAGACTTTATGTCAACTAAATGGTTTCTGAACGTGGTATTTTTGAAATCTCTGTTCAGCTTAATCCAACGTATGTTGGTAAGAGACCCGTCGAAGAGAGCAGGCCTGGCAGAAATAGTCTCAAATGCGTGGGTCATGGCTGGTGATCGAGGGCATGCTGCGGTATGCTTAAACTTTCCCTGATTTTTCTATGTCCATGAAGTAGTCTATTTTCAGGTGTTACCCCTCATAGTTAAGCATCATTTGCCCCATTCTGCACATACAACCATTATAGAACAGATGGTCGCTGGGGGTGTCGGAACAGAGGAAGCCATACTTAGGTTGACTTTGTCCTTAATTGAATTCTCCACTATTCGAACGGTACTTTTTCTTAGAGCTCTCGAGAACGACGAGTACAATTCCATGACAGCGACATATTATCTTCTTGCTGAGCGTATATTGGCCTCATGTAGGGAAGAACAAGCTAAAGAACTTATGGCAAGAGTGGGATCTAGCGTACCCGATGAAGATCTGCAAGACAGGTTATTTCTTTCATCTTTTTCATATTTTCAAAAATTCGAATTAAATAGTGTTCTCTTGTTTAGACTCAAGATTTCAATGCCTAGAATATTATAGTCAAAGATTTCTGTTTTCCACTAGAAGTCGAACTTTTTTTTTTTCGAACTTTTAGCAATATTTCAGTGAATCCCGTCTACCTGGAGCCACTCCTTCAGTGGGGTCGCGCTGCCGGAGCAGGTCGAATTCTTGGCGTGCTCGTCCTTGCACAATTCTTAAAGAGGAGAGTGAAGAGGAGTTGTGCTCTTACTTGCGCTCTAGCCGTCATAGCAGCCGGTCCGTTTTTTTTATTTCGTGTTGTTTCATCCAGTTTATTGACTCCCCTGTTGAACTGTTCCGCCGCTTGTCCTGCATTGTGTTGTGTTGTTCATCTTGGTGCTTCTTTTTCATGTATTGTGTTTTTGCGAGGCTATCCAATTTCAGTTTTTCTGTGTTGTTCAGGTCTTTTTCCAACGATACCAACTACACACACGTCCACACAACCGCACGGGAGGCTTCGCCACTGCAGCCTTCAGTTGAAGGAGATGTCCGTGATGTACCCCGTAGCTTACTACTGTCTAAAGCTGCTCAGTTCGATGACCTCTCTCCTATAGCGGAGCACTGTCCTACCACAGCCCCTTTAAGTGGCAGTGACTCGAAAGGAAACTTTTCTGAGCAGATTGTCGCGCAACGAAGGGCGATATTTGCTCGTACACGATCATGTGGAGCTAATAACTCTACTCGTTCAAGATTCTCGAAATCCGACGACGAAGACACTTCAGTAGTGACTTCGCGGTCCCGTCGACAGTCTTATGCGGGGCTTGTGGATCTTGCACGCAGGTGGTTACGTTATTTGCATGTCATTTTCAGTTAATGTTTAACAGGATGGGGCAAAATTGCTGGTGGACCAATTTTCTGATGGCTTCGAAATGGTCTTTGAAAAACCAGTTTTGGCCAAGATTACTATTCACTACAAAATGGTGAGAAGAATCATTGAATCATTATCAGATTCAGAACTTTCGCTTTTAGCTCTCTCACAGTGCTTGAGACATTTGATCAACACTTCGCATGCGGGATGCAGGTAACGATCAGCATTAGTCTAGGAATTCGATAGCTTTGTACAGGAAGGGTCCGAATTTGAATCTGATAGCGCAGACAATTCCGGACTAACTTATGGACTCCATCCCACGACACTACCATTGACCATTACCTGCACGCCGCATGCGAACCGTTCTTCAAACACCTAGAGAAATCTGTAAGGGCTTAACCCCATTTTGTATAACCGCTAATATTTAGCATTGTCATCTTAGTGATTGGTACCAGACTTGTCTGGGAGGATAAAAACACTGACTTGTACATCGGCTGGCCCCGCAAGTCATTGTATAGGCCATCGCATTCAAACGCCACTACGAATGTACAAATGGAAGTAGAATGCGTGCCGCATCCCAAAAAGGGATTGATCAACGGCAAATGCTTTATCCTTTATCTTTTGAGAAGTAGTATTCACGGCTAGAAAAGACTTATGAAAGTTGACACCGAAATGCCATCAACATTTTGCCCCACACTGTGCAACGTTTTGCATGAGTTTTAGTTGCTTTTTGTTTACTATAAGTTTTTCTATAAGTGAGTGTTTGATTAGGATCCATAGCTGTGTGATGTATGTGAGAATTTGCACCTGAATATCGCTCACAACTTCATTGTGCGAAGGAAAACCTTGATTTTTAGTTGCTAAAGTAGCTTAGAACCAAATATTCTCCCAAAATAGGTGCAGAACTATTCTTCCCACGTTCAAACTGCACCTAATGTCGAAATGTTTATAAGAAGTGGAAGTTTTCTTTGGAACCACACAAAACTTATGTGAAAACAATTCATGTTTTTGAATGTGTACAAGTAGGCAGTGCTTAGATAGAGATCGTTTTCATCTTCATCGAAAGAACTTTTTGGAGTGAGCATGTTTTCCACAGAAAAAGCTCAATTTTTTTTGGTTTCGGTTGTTGATACTGGAAGTACAGAGCAGTATTTGCTAATACGAAATCGTTGAAGAATTAGCGGAGATACGCTTTTCTAATAAGAGAATTATAGTGGAAATTGGTGGCTCTATGCGCTAGCGTAATATTTTTTCTTTACCCTAAAACTTGATTCATTTCGCATGAATACATTACAATTTTTTTGGCGCAAGCACCAAATTATCCAACAGATTCATTCATGAGGATGGCGCTGTATTTTTGTTGCATGCTTCTCATTTTTTGTGTCCGTCAATCAGTAACAGCTTCAACGACATTTCGTTTGCATTGCAAGTAGGGGGAAACGTGCACGTAAACTAGTTTCAAATTGCACCGAGCTTGTGCATTACGCGAAGGCACGAGCTGCAACGCATGATCTCGAGATAAAAATTCACCGTGTGCTGCGTTGGTGCTGTTGATTTTGAACTTTTTTTTGCTTTCCCGCTTTTCAATTTTTTCCAACGTGGACTTTTTTTCGGTTACGAGACAAGCCACTGCAGCAGGTAAGATACAAGTAGTGGAGCGAAAAAAGCATGTGAAACGCAAATGAATACGTATTGCATTTTTTGCTATGCACACGTTGAAAAGTTCTACCTTATATTTTCATTTCGATATTTTCAAATGTTTTCAATCTCAGTTCAAAATCGAGAGCACCATGGCAATGCATGGCGAGTATTTATATTGAGGTCACGCGTCACGGCGCGTGCGTTTTGTGCATAATACCGGCGCCAAGTCTGAATGTTGCCTTGAGCAGTCATTATTGTGTAGCAGTGTGCTAGGGTGAAGCTTGTCCTAAATAATTTTTCGTATTTCAGTGGGTTACTAATGATGTACTTTCAAGTAAGAATGTAGCGTTTGAAAAGAATGAACTTTTTTTCGCTTTTTTAAACCATCTTACTACAGGAATTCGTCTCCCTCGATTTCCATGTTCAGTGGAACTCGCGATCGCGTGAGTCCGCAGGCTGTTCAAGATCTCATGGAATTATGCCGATTAGGTAATGCACTGCTAATAATTCCTAACTAGCTGAGGCTCATTTGTCCTAGGTCAACAATATTTGGTTGATGGTTTTTTCTTCTTCAGGTGGTGCTCGACGTGCTGTAAGCCCAGAGAGTATCCGAAGCAGTCGGTCGCCGTCACCTCCTACAAGTAGTGGAAGAGCTTCTCCAGGTCTGTTTTTGAAAGTTATTTTTTAGTTTATCTATTTTCGATGAATTTATTCTGATGATATAAGATATGCTGTTGGAACTTCTATTTTGTAATTATGTACATAACCTCTTCAGCCATGTCATCGCTTTCTTCATTATCTCGCTTGAAAGTTGCAACATCTTCGTTTGGTGGCGGCATGCGGAAGCTATCCTCTTCACCACATCTGCTGGGTATTTGCGAAGAGGGCGAAGACGTGGATTCTAACGCAGTACTTCTTACAACATCTGGACAAGGATCTTCTAGAACGAATAGGTATTGCTCACATATCCTGCCCTTAGGGGATTTTTATTGAGCAAATTGACTGCGTGGCGGTCATAAATGTGGTAATCACAAATGAGGTTATTTCTCCGTAGATCGTCTTCAACTGGACTTTCGCATTTGCGTCATGGAGCTATCCAGGCCACAAAGAGTACAGGCGCTCATACGCAGCCAACTTACAGGTTAGTGATACACCGCCAACTTAACACGTTCCATCAGTTGCTGTGATTTTTCAAAGCTAGCTAAACTATGGAGCTTCTCTAAATCGAATTTCGCCTACACTAATGTTCAAAAAAGATTGACGCATCTCTAACAGATTGTTTCCCTAGCGTCCTTGGGCGCATTCTACTTAACATGACTCACAAGGAAAGGCTCCCAGTCGCCATGGCCATTCAAGAAGAGATGTATACCGCTAGATGTGCCTTTGAACGCTGATCTCAAATCTACCTTCCAAATCTGCTAAACGATTCTCTGAAGGAGTTATGAAGCAAAACAGCGCAACGGCAGTGGTCGGGATTTGCAGTCAAAACGTCGTAGGATCGGCCCCTGATCGCGTTTACTGTCTTGCGTTCTTCAGGAATTAGGCTAAATAGGCTATTAAAGCCTTTTAGCTGTACTCCTGAAGAAGGCAAAACAGTAGACGCGATCAGGGGCCGATCCTACGACGTTTTGACTGCAAATCCCGACCACTGCCGTTGCGCTGTTTTGCTTCATAACTCCCTTCAGAGAATCGTTTAGCAGATTTGGAAGGTAGATTTGAGATCAGCGTTCAAGGCACATCTAGGGTATACATCTCTTCTTGAATGGCCATGGCGACCTGGAGCCTTTCCTTGTCAGTAGAGTGCCGAATAAATATTAACAAGCATGCGTTTTGTACTAACCATGATTTTAGTTCGGTGCGCATGATTCGCCCACGTCATGCAGTAGTATCACCAGATGTTTGCAGGCGTTATGACCAGCATTCAAGGCTTATCGCACGTAGTCGTCGTAGCACAAGGTTTGCTATTAAGTTTATCTTTTGATCAAATTTCGATGATTATCTCTTGAAGTTGTTCCTCCTCCGAAGCGTCTGATGATGAAGAAGGGAAACGCTTGTCGATTCTTGGCTCAGTGCATTGCGGTAGAAAACGAGACGGTGATAACGATAGAGATGACACAACTGGTGGCCAAGGTCTGTGTTGCACTTCTAAACGCTATAGCTTCATTCGAATACCACCCTCCGCCTTTGTTTTCGTTGATGAGAAGCAGAGCTGCAATGGTTCGGCCAACTTGTTTCTTTTCATTTTCAGCTCTTGTTTCATTTTAGTCATGAATAGCGCGAGAACTCCGTTTTGTTCACAAATTGCGTACGGCAGACTACAACTACTATAAATTTGTAGCTTGTTCGACGAAGTTACATTGTTATCATGCTGTCATCTACTTTTTTCTACAAATTTTAGTCGTATGTAGTGAAGGAGAGAATTACGCGCGATAGCTTCTGAGTCTGTATAATTAGTCAGACCTCCTATATTTGTATGGCCGCTTGACGTCAAAGTCGTGGACGTAGGACGTGAAGTCCAACGTAACTATACACGTCAATGCAACTCAAGAAGAGCTGGAGAAATGTGGCCGGCTGACCCCCCCCCCCCTTGTGCGCGCCTTGCGATTTTACGCTTTACCAAATGGCCTGTCAGCGTGCTCCTGGACCGTAGAAATTGCTCGGAAAACCGCAGAATAAAGGTTAAGGTAGGCGATCAACAACTTCCAAGATCCACTCTGTTCTTCCGCGTAGCAGGGGGGGTCGAACATTATCTGAAGATTGTCTTGTTAGCGTCTGGCGCGCAGTGGCTGGGACTGGATATACATAAACTTCTGGGCAGTAGGAATCAAGCGATGGCCAAGATTCTTGTAGCCAAACTGGTCGATCCATTCTGATATGTTTCCTTGAATAATAGCCGCATCCGCGTATTGTTCAGTTATGCTTCTTCAATTCCATTCTTTAATTAGTGTGTTTTATGTTTTAGCTATTCTGGCTGAAATTTTCGATATTGGGTCGTTAGTTTTCCGCTGCAAAAAACAGCTTTTCTAGGAGGTGTAGCTGGAGGTCCCGGAGGAAGTGGCGAAGCAGGGAAGCCTTATTTGGCATGTAGCGGTTCAGACACAAATGCAACCGGAGACTCAACCCGGGAACGGAGGTAAGTGTTAGCCGGAGGGGCTAAACTAACCTTTGTTTTGATTCTTTCCTCACATATTTCCCTGCGTGTCAATCGATTAGTTCAGCTATTGCGAAGAATCATAATTCGGAGTGCTTGCCTTATAATTACTGTTTTTCGTTGCGATTCGGTATTAGAATAGCTCAAAAATTGTCGCGTTGCATTTGCAAAACAAAAAACATTGTTTGGGGAACAGCAGTGAAAAAAAACAGTGAAAAATATAGTAGGAATGCCTGCATGACCGTTTTGGGAGGGGCTCATAGGGAGAACTATACGACTCGTTTAATGCCAAGATGCTTTGATCGAGCTGATGTGGACTTAAGTCGCAGCCACAGGGCAGTGCTGGAAGGTGTGCGAAACGATATGCCTTGTAATTGCGACAAGATCATGGGTGTGATGTTTGGGTTGGGAACCTTATAAGCCAAAGGCGTCTTCAGTTTTGACCGTTGCGATATCTAGCCCACTTCAGAGCCCTTTTGCTGTCCTTTTCCCACCCATCATCCGCATCGCTCGTTCTTCGAAGACTCGTGCAGTGCTCTGAATCTTTTACAAAGGCCAAGTATATCACAGAAAGAGGCCTTTTCGAGGGGTTCGAGGGGTCGTATGCTATCATACCTTTGGAAGGTTCCGTTGCGAAAACCTGTACCCTCTCGGGAAGCAGAGTGGCGTCGAGTGGGGTAGGACATGTCTCCGGAGGATGGACGAGCATTGATCATAGTTTCATAATTCTTCATTTTCGGGTCCCTACCAGCAGCTATCCCGCACTACAGAAATCCTCTCATCGTGGGACGTGCCTCAGCTCAGGCTTATCCAATGCTTCGTTTTTTGCTTCAGACCACCTCGCAGTGCGCCATACAACCTCACGATATGGGCTAAATAGTGCAAAACTACGTGTGCTCTAAGTTACTCACTATCCGTCCCAGCTGCGCATAACGTTTGTCTTGCGATCATCAAGTCATTGAAACTTACATTTATTGATATGGTCTTTTAAAGGCAAAGGTCGGGCTCAGGCACGCTAGAGAAGTAATTCCCGTGCCTGGAGGTTGTATGTGGGTAGCTGCACACATTGCAGCAACTTCCCACCTTGAAAAACCCCGTTAAGGCCCCGGGGCGTTCGGTTTCAATCCAGGGCCGCCTGGTCAATCCAGGACCGCCCACCTCCGGAAGTGGTGCGTGGCTGGCATAACGTGTGAAATCAGCTAGGTTGATTGCCGTATCAACCGATAGAACGACTGACATCTCCAGAAAACTTGTTTGTACGTGCCTCTTTCCCAAGCCAGCCTCCTTCACTGCTAGTGGGAAAGAGGGTTTTGTTAACGGCCTTGTCGACGGTTTTTCTCAGTTTTTTCTCCACTGTCGTTCCACTTCGCATCTCTATACTCAGTTTCAATCGCCATAATACCCCCTTATTTGAGCACTTTTTTTCCCTTTAAATCAAGTTTCCATCTCTTCTTAATGCGTCTGTGAGTCCTTAAGTGTGATGAAGGCAGTTTCGTTTATGCATGTTCGCTTTGTTTTGTGAACACGCCACGAATTTTCGAATCCTTCTAGATGTTAAGGTCTGGAGGAGCAACGGAAGGATGTTCTTCCACCGGGCAGCAGCATCTGTGTCCAATACCAGAGATGACCCACCTTGATAGCAATCGAGGGGAATGTCTACGCGCCAAACTTCTTCATAGGTTAGTTTTTATTGAAAGAAAGGGCTGCTCTTGCACAGAAATTCTTTTCCAGGTCGCATACCGCTGAAAGGATAGCAAAAGACTGGGCTTCGGTGTACACAAAGGATTACGTTCAGGAAATTTCATGCTTTGGTACACCACCCAGAGATGTTGCCAACATTTCCCCTGGAGAAAATCGAAATGGTGTAGATTGTTGGATTCACAGTCTGAAGCGAACCCGGTCGGATGATGGCATGCAGCTGGTTAGATTGTCATACACTGAAGGAATATTGTTTATTTTTCATTGTTCTTTCTCAAACAGATTTTTTAAAGGCACACTGCGGCGACAGCGAAAGTTTGGGTGATTCAGTGTTCGACATTCCAGCAGAATCGGTGCTTTCATCTGTTAGCGACATTTTGGAACGAAATAGTGATTCTGGATGTTCTAGTGAGAAAGTCTTCAAAAATCCAAAGAAGGAGAGAGTAAGCCTGAGGTGGGGATGTTTTTCGTTTGGATCCAAAATCTTAATGAAGCTAAACTGTTTTCATCCCTAGTAAGTGTTGATTCAGAGTTGTGAGCTCACTTCGTTGTCATCTCTTCATCCGATGCTTCTCTATGACCAACCGCGCCGGGAGAAAGTCGATATCTGGCTTCGTTCTACTCATTTTATTTGAAAAACCAGTTGCTACAGCTTTCTTTTCCTTTTGTTTACTCATTCAGTATGCACCACTCTCTGATGAATCTTTTATTGAAAAGCTCTTTGCTCTAACTTTTAGTGTACAGTTGTTTGTTTCATTAATTTACCACGCAGGAAAGTCTTATCTGTTTTAGTTAGGGTTAGAATTGTTTGCATTTTCTGCAGAGTACAATTTCGTTAAGCGTTGCGTAAATTAACGCGTTACGCTATGGGAGTGTTTATTTCTGGTTTATATGGGTTTCGCACATGTGGATAAGCTGATCAATCACCTGTTGAAGACACAAGGACGGCGTTGCATTCTGTACTTTGGCTTTGTCCTCTTATTGTTATTTGAATTTCTTTCACTAACAACAATTCCTATGACTTATATAGCGGTTTTGATTCTCAGACGTTGACCCTGTCGGTGTTCTCGTGTTATCCCTTTCGTGTGAGCTTATCAATGCAGATTTTTACAGCAGTGCTAGCATGATGTATTGCTTTGTAAATGTAAATAAACCACCATAATAAATTCTATCAGATTTGTAAACGTTCGTGTTGATGTGATTGTCTCGTGACTCCATCATAATACCGCTTTATGTACACCTATTCACCTTGCACTTAAGGCAGAATTTACGATGAAAAGTTAGCTCATTGGGAATAAGCGTAGAGGATGTCAGGTGGTCATTGGAGCAGGGATGAAGAAGAAACCATTTGAAACGGCCAAAACCCGAGAAATGGGACCCCTTCCTTGCCCGTTGATTTGCGCATTGATGCGACTCTCATCGCTGTGCCCTCTTCAACACTACGCTCTCTCTGCTATCTAATCACTCGCCACGTATTGAACGGCGAGTGATCAGATGATCGGTGGGCGGAGATCGCCGGACCCGCCAGCTTTGAGGCATGATAGGTCGCCGAGTCCTATATCTTTCGCTGCAGATGCGCGTACGGCCTCAGCACGCTTTAGGAGTACCGCGTTGTCTCCCAACCATGCAATTTTCCCCCTAATCGACCTTTTTTCTTCGGGAGTTCCTCCTCCAAAAAGAAAAGCTTGAACAAGAGGATAAACGTAAGACGTGTAGGAGAGTCACCCACGTATGTATAGCCAAACCCTGAACTGCAGTTCAATGGGGTAAGGGTGGTAATCTGGCCCATTTATTGCTCAGTGAGCAAAGAGAATGCCCGGCAGTCGTGGAACCATTAGTGTCTAGTGGATTAAAATCTTCGAAAAACTACACGTGATTAAAAGAATGTAGTGGACAGTAACACGGCAGACAGGTGGCTTTGAAACTCGAAGACTTTGTGTGCAGAGTTTGGCGATAACGTCATTGGTGGCTCGCATTTCTCTTCTCACAGGAGGACGTTACTTCCCTCTTGCCAAGGGCTAAGGGCCGAAGAAACCCGCTATAAAACATTCAAATTTAAGCGCATCAGGCGTTACATAGAGGATGTATTTGTAATATAGATTAAGTCTATACGACGGTAGGCCATGTACTGAAAGTAAGGAACTGAGTCGGTTTGAAACAAAAGTAATTTAAAAGGATTGATTTGCTCTCTACCTGGGTTAAGGAATGGAAACGGCCCTATTTACAGCCACAATAAATTAAGTCAAAGTGATCGCCAAACACACTGGGTTCCGCCTGGGGGGTGGTGGATTCCCATGAATCAGTGTTTGAAATGGGTGTTTGAAGCAGTGAGGCGAGCCCTTTAGTGGGAGCGTACTAAACGTTTCGTCTTCAACCCTCGGTCCCGCTGAAAGGCTGACGCCTCCCCAGCTTGGGTCCCAGAGCTCACTTCTTTTCCAGGTCCTGCTCCTTTTGTCCTACCGCGAAACTAAACTGACGTTCCCAAAAGTTTCGGGCTTCTACCGAGGTTTTTCCATTTCCTTGGAATCATCCACTCTGACTTACCCAGGCTCTGAGGATTGTTTCATATCTGACGACGTAAGCACCGCTGACTTAGCAGTGCTAAGTGAGCCTTTGATAACTCTTGTCCCTCCTGTACGTGCATAGATTACGAACGATCTATCATGTTATAGATAAGTAAGCCCGGCTGGGCAAGACCACGATGGAATAGTTACAGAGAGGGTATTTTATGTATTTTATTTGCCGTGATGGACGGATTCATGCATTCGCAAGATTCGGTCTGCAGTCTTTTATAATGGAACAGCTGAATAAAAGTCATCGTTTAGGATGATTTGGCGGCGGCTGGGTCGTCGAGCAACAGTTGCGTATCGTTCAGCATCTCTCAAAAGGACTACCCATACCGCGGCTGCCCTGGGTAGTGGCCATTCATGCGCGAACGATGGCGGGTAATGTGGACTTCTTTGGAGCTGTTTACACTGCCTGGCATTGTGTAGCTTCAAATATAGGTTATTGGAAGCTGGGTATTTCTTGCATTATCCTTTGTTTTTTGTAGTCACAACGAATAAGTGACCGATTACTGGAACTGCAATCGTACTGGAAACCCGTTTACGAGTCGCAATGCGTTAATAGCAATGCAAAGGTACGTTTCCAATCTGATTGAAGGTAAGTATTTTGCGTTGGACATATGGTGGAGCACATGTCCAAGTCACTCGGATTTGGTCTATTCTAAGATTCTGTCCTGCAGAACAGTTGCAGTTGTTCTAAAACAGCTGATTAACTCGATCATCTCTCATTAGTCCCATGTGAAAGTTTTTATTCGTTTTTCCAATGAAATTGTGCAATGAGAATTTCCTCAACACACGTCCATTTATTTTCTCTGTGAAATTTTGAACAGTTTTACCCTACGAAATCCACAGCTCCCGGAAAAATGCACAGAACTTTGAGGATTACCTTCAAAGCCGAATGGAAAGAACTGCTCAAGTGTGAGATGGGTAGGGAATGGAACAGTATAATAGTACGAAGCGCAAATCAACCCGAGCGTCAGGGAGGCTGGATGTCTTGCAGAATCTCATAATGCTCTTCGAGACTGAGTGTCCAGATACCGGAAAACAAGAGTAGCTCTGAGAGCTCAGAAAAGGAGAGGAGAGCAAATGTCAATGATGGGCGGAGCATGCACATATGGGCGGAGTTTGTTACGAAACTCTTGTCATTCGGGTTATTGACAGCCTGGAGACTAGGCAAAAATCGACAGGTGTAGAGAGCAAACTGGTATCCTGCTGTTTAGTTGGTTTACAATGCGCCCGATTCTCGGAAAGGTGTCCTCAGGGCTAAATTTTGTCCATGCGAGAAATCTAGCTATAAAACGCTCCTGATGATGTGTTATTTTCAGAGCGGTCCATCAAAATACATCCTGTCCATGTTCCCATACCCGTCCGGTTCTTTACATATGGGCCATATGCGAGTCTACACAATTTCTGACGTCACTGCAAGATATTATCGATTGAATGGGTTTGATGTGAGTAGTGGAGAGAGCGCATGTGAAACTTTAGAATTTCTCTGCTCGATTTGTAGGTAATCCATCCAATTGGTTGGGATGCTTTCGGATTACCAGCAGAAAACGCGGCTCGTGAACGAGGGGTCGATCCACGACAATGGACGTTATCGTGGGTTTCGTAGGGTCGTTTTTGAAGTGGCTGGGCATTGTTTTTGTGAAATTCCTCAAAACAACTTTTGAATGGCTCTGTAAACATGCATGTTGTTTTCTGCAGTTCTGAAGTTGGAGTAATGAGTTGTTTTTAACGTTTTAATCTTACTCTCTTTAGCAATATCGAATCGATGAAGAATCAATTGGAGAAGACTGGAATCCTTTTCGATTGGGATCGAGTAAGTTATGTTACCACCAGATTATATGGAATAAGTTATGCGTAACCTATATTATAAAAAGCTGCCCATGCAAGAGTACGTTGCGAAAGTAGGCTGTTTTTGATCCACGGTGTGGGCTTTGCCTTAGGCTTGTCGACCATTGGGAAGGTGAAGACATAAGTTTCTCAGAAAATATCGGAAGGTGTATAACTTCCAACCACACCTTTCAGGAAATTTCGACGTGCGACCCTTCATACTATCGTTGGACGCAGTGGATTTTCCTGCGGTTGTATGAGCATGGTTTGCTGCGGCGAATTTTAGCTGAGGTGGGGTTTATAAAAGTGCCAACAATGTACGGCTGATAATTATGTTTAGGTAAATTGGGACCCCGTAGATAACACGGTGCTTGCTGCCGAACAGATTGATTCTGAAGGAAGAAGCTGGAGAAGCGGTGCTGTTGTGGAGAAGCGAAAGTTGCGACAATGGATGGTTGAGACTCCACGTTATGCTAAGGTATGCGAGGATATTGTATTTTGAGAGGCTGGAGATTGGAGTGATTATGTCGTTCAGCGCTTGAGCGATGGTCTGCGAAAATTGTCAAACTGGGACCAAAGTGGCTGACAATACAGCTCCAACTGGATTGGGAAATGCGAGATTGATCTACGATCCTGTTTCCCTAAAGGCAGTGCAGTAATTTTGAGCTCTCTATACTGGAGTTCTAGAAAATTACATTGTTGTCAAATACGGCCTGATATTGAATCAATTCCCCATGAAAGCATGAGCGTATAAATCAGCTCGAATGGATAAGAAATTAACAAGTGGCAGAAGCCAACTTCCGCGCGAAAGTACATGTGGGAAATAATTACTTCGGATTGAAAGCAGAATCAAAATGCTCATTAGACGTGAATGGCAGTAGTTAAGTACTATATCGCACGGCGTACGGGCCTTAAGGGGGTCGCCATAGGAAGCATACTTATTATACTAAATCTTCCTAGGTTTTGCAAATGTTGCTACGTAGATTCACTTTCAGCCTACTACTTGGGATTCTTCATCGTGCTTCGGACAAATACCAGGCGGTTCGAAAATAGATAGACAAGATCTGACAGTCGTAGCATTTCATTGTGATATCCTTGTAAAACCCTGCTTTCGGGGACTGACGAATTTTCGTTCAAGTTCAGAACTGATATTTTTTTGCTCCATAGGATGATAGGCATCAACCAATGGAAGAGCTTCTCGATCTACGTGTGAGATGATCCAATAGGAGTTGCTCGAGCCACGTTTATTGTCATTCGCCAAGGCCATCCATTGAGCGATCCTGAACGTTCCCCTGCTGATTCGCCAATGATAAGAGAGTAGAATTAAAAGCAGTTATAATCTTAGAAAGTCGTTTTTTTTTTTCAAAAACATAATCTATGGTACCAATGAATGTTTCAGATCGCCTTCCTTTCAGTGTTTTGAATGGCATTTCTGGCGTATGGATGCCTGTCATAGTTGTTCCTGAAAACTATGGTGGACCACCGATGCATTTGAATGCGAGGTAGTGAACCGCTTTCTTCACGAATTTCCTCATTCTTTTATTGTACTGACCGAAAGAGGTAAATTAAAGATGTGGCGGACAATCGGTGGCGGAGTGTTATTTGTAGACATCATTCAAAATCTCGTCAGGATAGACGAGCTCTTATGCCGATGAATCTCAGGGACGTCCAGGAAATCGCAAAGGTTTGCTCTACTCTATTTTCTCTCTCCTCTCTCGTTTCTTGTAGTTTCTTCACACAAAATTTACCGCAAAAACCTTTCAGTTCGGTAATTATGGCGGATACATGACGTCCCGAACGCTTCAAGATTGGGTTGTGAGTCGGTGAGTAAGGTGTGTCGTGGAGTGAAATGTTCCCTAATAAGGAGCTGATCTCAGGCAACGTTCTTGGGGAACTCCGATTCCTATGATACTCAGTCCTGACGGAATGACTGCGGTACCGTTGGATAACGACCAGCTGCCACTTCTTCAGGGTCAGGAACGAGGCGGAAAAGTACCCTGTGACAGGTATTATGTGCTGTTTGGGTGGATCAAACGCTATTTGTGTATTCTTAACGACAAGGGTGTGAAAGGTACTTTAATATCTAATTTCACTCAACTTGCCGACGCTTATGTCCTTTGAGGGGGGGGGGGTGGATTCAAAACAGGGCATTCAAAACTGCTGGTAGGTGACACCAGGACTGAGCCAAAGAGAGGGAGGAACGCCAGGGAGAACAAAATTGCTGACATGCGCTCCCAGAATCCCTTCCCCACCTAAAGCTTAATCCCGGGTGCTGTGAGTGGCTCACCCACTTGAATTTCCCTCCACACACTGACATGAGCGCCTTGAAACCTTCACCCCTATGAGGATTTTTCTGAGAAAAAAAACGAAAATGTTGTCCCAATTTGCGAGTCAATGCGTAGCCTGTAGATACCATAGTTACAGGATTAAAAAGGTGAAAATTTGCATCGGCCAATCCTTTTTCGAAATGCGCCACGCCATAGATATTTATTCGGAATCGTGGTGACTTTTGAAGGTGTATTTAGTCTAAACAGTGACTTGAAGGGGGCAGCCGGTTCATGAGCCAGTGTTTTTACCCATCCAGACGGCTCTGCCACCTATTGTCACTCATAAAAGAATGTTTTTCTGAAATCGGTCCAGGAATTGTTTATAGAACAATGCGTAAGGTACCGATACTACTTGTCACTACTTGCTTTTGCCTAGTAACAAAATTATACAAGAGTATTCATATAAAAAGAACGGCTGAGGTGGTGTAGTAGTGAGTGGCGCTGATGACTAGGCGCACGGTCCAGGGATCAGAGCCTGGGCTGTATTTCATTCAGCCAACTAAGCTTTCTGCCCCTACGGGGTTGGTGAATTGGTACCAACTGTGTCTGCGAGATCAATCATCGAATTGCACATTAGCTAACCCCGCAGGTGATGTAGTGCAAATCGCATTAGCGATGATACTACGATTCTGAATGGAAGTAGAATGCGTGGCGCATCTCCGAAAGGTATTGATCAACGCCGATTGCTTTGAATGTACATGGCTTAAACGGATTGATGAACCCAAGTGATGTTTTATCCATAGATAATTTTGATTGTTATGCTTTCGATACTGCTGTCTAGATTCGTACCGTTCAGATTGAAAGGAGGTGAAGGTCACTACGAAACGGATACATTGGATACGTTCTTTGACTCGGCATGGTTAGTTTTTCAAAAGGATGGTGCGAAATTCACCAAGGACACTTCCGTGGTTGTAGGTACTATCTACGCTACCTTGATCCTCATAATCAGAATGCGCTGCTATCCAAAGAAGCGTCGGCGAAGATGCCAGTGGACATTTACGTGGGCGGCATCGAGCATGGTTCGGAATTTTCTTTTCTGTTCCTTGTTTCCTGTTCCATTCACCATTTTCTCCCTGAGAATACACTGGAGTTTCAGCCGCGGTCCACATGTTCTTTGCTCGGTTTATCTCATATTTCCTCACCGACATTGGAGTCACCCAGGTTGGTTAGTTGGTTTCAACTAATTGAGAAAAATAAGTGTCACCCCGGTGCACGCGGCCCACTTGCGTGGATCAGTGGGAGCCAGAGTCAACCGTCCGGGTGGTTTGCGATTTTGGGAAGGGGATCGCATTTTGGGGTTGAGCAAAGTTGACTACGTCTGGGAAATGTATGAGCGGGGGTTATAAAAAGGTGTTGTATTTTTTAATTGACGGTTTTTCGAACGAGTTTGGCGAAAGTCTCATGAAAGTAGAGTAAAGTAAGCCGTTGAAGCAGGGTAGGGCATGGGCATGCCCGCAGACGGATAT